ACCTGTGTGTCAGTTAGAAGCATGAAGGCTCCCAGCATGAAGTGATTTTAACCCCTGATGTCTCCTCAGCCTCCTGTGCAGCCGTCAGGACAGTATCCACAGGATGACCCTGATTATTCAGTGTGGATGCCTCCTGCAGGTAAATCAGCGGCTATCAGCCGACCGAGGCCTTAAATCATCACAGTAATCAGGCTGAACCTCGTTAAAGTCCTTCTGAGGTTTTTGTTGTAATCATGGGTGCAGCTGAGGAATGCAGATCTAGATGATCCTGAATAAACAGCTGCCAGCCTGGTCTCACTGCCTGCTCTGCTCTCACAGGTCAGACTGGAGATGGTCGCACTCACCTGAACGACAAGTACGGCTACTGATGAGGACCATCAGCTTCTGGTTACAGACGGTGACCCTGAAAATGACTCATATTGAGCCTGTGAGGAATTGCAGGGAGCGATTCACTCCTCTGTTATTCTAACCTGGGCAGGAATCAGGAGGCTCCGCCTCTCTGTTCCTGTGCCGCTCCTGCAGATCAACCCACCTGACGCCCGCTCTGCACCCGGCTCCTGGCTGGCGTCAGTCCATCCCTGGCTTTACCTTTTTCTGCTCTGCTGTAGAGGCAGTGGTGGCAGCAGGAGAGGGAGAGCATTGAAGCAGCTTTTCTGACCATCTGGACACTTGGACGGCGTCCTGGATGAAACGTAAGCTGATAATGACTCAAGCTAAGTGAAGAGTGTGTTTCCATGTGCGCACGCACTACGCCCCCCCCCCTCAAAGTCCTCGTTTTAACAAGATTTCCTCAGTGAGAGCCTGGAGATTCCTTTCTCTGTGAAATCCCACTCTGTTGATTTCTGTAACTTCGAACATGTGCCCCCCCTCCCCCGCTAATGTCTTTAAACTATAATAAATGGAATATCTTTTTGTAAAATAAAATAAAAAGTACATCACCTCATAGTTAGTTTTTTGTCAGCTGTTGGTCTCCTGTTAGAAGCTGTTATTTAAAATGAACAAAGTTTGCTTTTGTTCCCTGAATGTAACATTTCTCTAAGTTGGACATTTATTTTAGTTAGTTGCATAGCAGTTATTCTGCCAATCATCTTAAAAGTAGCCTGGTAAATTAGCCCCGCCACAATCATTTTTCCCTGCAATTGGTCTAGCCTTGATCTATACCCCAGGCCCTAGAACTGACTGGCCAATCACAACACAGATGTGTTTAGAAAGTGGGCGGGGTTTTGAGGGTGTGACAACTGCAGACCGCGCCATTGGCTGATCAGCTTCCCTCTCCCTGCTGATGTACAGCATCCCCACAGCATGATGCTGCCACCAACATGTTTTGATATAGAATCATAAGACTGAGGCCTATAAACTATTGTTATTTTCTGATCTGACCAGAGCAACTTTTTACTACAACGCCTTTAAAAAGCCAAAGACTTTAAGGCTGTTAGCGCTTTAGCAAGGTGTTTTACCACCATTCAGAAATAAAATGACATCACAAGAAGAGGCCACAGAGTATTTATTGAATTATTCTTGTGCAACAAGGGACGAAAACACGTCACGATGTTACATTCAATTCGGCAAAGTCTTGGTTCCAGCTAGTTACATTGTGTTTGAGCTCCTTTCAGGAGACAGGAAGTACCTCAGACTTCAATATAGCAGGAATGTGATTTCAAGGCATTAAGAGATATTTAGATAGTTAGACCTGTGGTCCTTTTCTACCTAGAATGGAATGGAGTTACATTACTAGAAACAAAAAGCCAAAGTGAAATGGCGAACTACAGGAAGGCTATCCAGAAGAACAGATTAGCCAACTGTGCAGCAACCCTACAGTCATTCATGTTTCTGCAGAGTTCTGGGATTCATGCAGGAAAAGAGAAAACGAGTAACTTTGACTCAGGACTACTGATCTACAGTCATACATATTTGTTATAGCTCGACCTTACAGTACTGTGTTTGCAGCAACACATCCAGAGTAGTAGTTTCAGACGGATAAATGCGACCACCATCTCAGCTTAACAATAACAAGATAGATGATTCATCTTTTTGTTTAGATAGGAAGTTACAAAGGAAGAAACCCTGGAACCACATGATTGTCTAACATGCATCATTCCCCTCAGAGCGATCCAAACAGGCTTCCTGCTCCGTGTTTGTCTAATGATCCTGAATTCTACGTAGAGAGCTCTGCTAGACGGTGTCCTGATTCCAGCAGGGCTCAGAGTGATGGGGACAGATTACCTGAGAGTGCAACAGTTCAACCTTTAAACAGAAACACCTTCCAGAGCTCGCTCCGTTAACAGAAGCCGCAGAATGAAAAGACCTAAATGCGAGGAGGTGTGGCTGGAGTCTGCTTTGGACGGTTTCTGCTTAAGAGCATGGAGGGTCTTCAGACGGAGTCAAGGATCTACAAGGGGGCGCTGTGCTCATGGAGCGGAAGGCCAAGATGGAGGGGTCATAGGAGTACCTGGGCGGAGGACGACCGCCGGTTAGATTCTAGGGACAGAAAAAAAAAAGATCATTTAACAAACAATAGAAACAACAATACTCCTCTGGACTAAAACCAAAACATTAAACACTTTTGGACGTTTTATCTTCCCTCGTGGAGCAAATCCAGGCTGCAGTTCTACTTTTCCACTTGTAAGCCCCCCCCACCACCTTTGGCTTCTAAATTTAGCCCGAGTCATTTTCTTCCCCACAGGAAACGGCAGGAAATGACTTTGTTGGATTTGGCAGTGAGGCAGCACTTTGTGCAGGGCTGCAGAGGCCGATTCCTCACAGAACCTGAAAACTGAGACGGATGCGCGGCTGGAGCCCAACGCTGTCTCACTGTTAGGGAGGGAGGGAGCAAACATCTGCAGGGATCCAGCTGCTGGAACGCAGCATCATTCCCCAAACCAGTCAATCAAACTGTGAGATGTTAAAATAATCTTTCTCCTCTGGAGGCTACAGGTCAGCCAAACTACAGCCAGCTAATCCGGATAAATTAAAAATCAACAGCAGTAGATGGACTAAGTTATCTATCAATCATTTCACACATCCTTTAATTCAGGCTTCAAGAGAGAGCCGAACCTTCAGCAGATAATAGGAAGGCTCAAAGGAGAACAGAGGAATGATTTGGGTTTGGTTCTGTGAGTCTGCTCAGTGACGCAGTGGTTAGCGCTTCGGCCTTGCAGCATGAAGGTTCTAGGTTTGATTCCCGTACATTTCTCCCTGTACATGCGTGGGTTCTCTCTGGGTACTCTGGTTTCCTCCCAGTCCAAGATCATGACTGTTAGGCTAATTAGCTTCTCTGAGTCCTCATGAGGAGGGCGGTAATAACTTCTCCCAGTGGAGAAATCTACCTCTGCATTTAATCGCCGTTGTGCGACAGATTGGCGACCTGTCCGGGTGGAGCCTGCCTCTCCTGCTGGAGACAGACACCTCGCCTCCCCGCTGGGATAAAGCGTGACAGAAAACGGATGGTTGAATACTTATGTAAATATAAAATATGCCTGCTACATGACCTCAGATAACAGCATAAATAATTCCTTTATTAGCTTCTGAGATGGGCGTGTTCAGCGTGGTAAGCCAGTAATGATGACCAATCACAGCAGAGAGACTACAAATATTTTCAATGCTTGAATCTTATTTTATGAATTTTTCCTAAATTGTCCAAAACCTGAAGATGGCGGCCGCCTTCATTTCCTGCTGAGGTCAGGATCAGATAGAACAAAAGGAAACTTGTTTCCATCAGTTTTATTTTCCTCTGCTTTATGTTTAACAGCCCTTATAGTTTTAGAAAGACTTCATCTCATGAGCTAAAGACTCACTTTGATTAAAAACACTTCTAGGATCATGTCCATCCAGGTCTAAGTGCAGGTATGAATGTTTCTCTCTTAGTCATTCTATCAGCACTCAGGTATTTAAAGCAGGATATAAAATAATTTCTGAACTTTGAACATTAAGCAGCATCTTTTAACCAAATATCTACACTGATCAGCGAAGCAGCAGAACGCCAGGCGTTCAGGAAATCTGGCCGTTCTGGGGGAGGAGTCTCAGTCATCAAAGTTTATTTTACTTTACAAACCGCTGCATAAAAACAATAAAAACAATCCTAAGCATAAAACTTCAAGTATTAAAAGCCAGTTTGATAAAAATTAGTCAACAGGTTTGATCTCATCAATAATCTTCTGACGTCTCATTAAACAGAGCCAGACTAAATTACACCTTTAATATAACCTTTAGTCTGGTTTATCAGGCTAGTAAAATATGATTCTAACAAGTTTCTATTCAGGCGTTACAAACAAATGCCCGCCGCACACTTCAGATTTTATTTATAAAACTTCTGTAAGCCGCAAACGTCTGTTTTATTAACCATTGGCTCCTTCATTCTGTTCGTTTGTGTTTGTAATGTTATGTGCAAACATCTTTAAAGCATTATTACACTTTAAAGGAACTCAAGTTATGCTGCTGAAAAAAACACATTTATTAAAAGTATTTGAACTTTGTTTTTAGTTATAGTCAAATAGTTTTTTCCTCACAGATAGAGAGAAATCTAAGGTGAAAAGCTTGTAGTTAACCTCAGTCTAAAGTAAAGTAACGCCATGCAGAAGTTTCCTCTTATCCAATCAAGCATAACCGCATCATTTCCTCCTGTTGCTCCTCATGGCGGCTGATGATACCAGACGCCGTCATCTCGGCCTCCGACACGCCGCCTTGTTCAGCTCCATCCTTCCAGGGAAAACAAAGGTCAGAAGCAGCTTTCCAACGGACCCCCTCCTCTTCATACACATCGCTGCCGACCTCCGACCCCTGCATCTACTCTCATGCTTGAGTTGCTTCCATGAAGCGTCTCTTCTGGTTGGCAGTCAGGAAATGGAGGGTTTGCAGATAAAAGGGGGGGGAAACAAACAAGTTCTGCTCTCTGTCATAAAGACCTGCTGGAAGCGGGAACGGACCTGCAGACGTCACCGACGTGGACGACACAACCAGCAAGCAAGAGCGGAGAATAATGAGCAATACTAGCGTGTTCCAGTGGAGCTAAACAGATTGCAGCCGGCCAAGGCTATAAATGGAAAATGACTCCATCCCTGGAAAAACACCACAAGGGAACCGCACGCACTCCACCTCCTCTTCCTCCTCCTCTACCTCTCACCGCCACTCACTCACTGATCCTCCTCGCCTTCCATCTAACACAGAGCCGGTGTGTGTCGACATAAACAAGAGTGTGATAAGGCTGCAGCCACACGATCCCACACAATGTGATAATGACGTCACTTCTCTCAGCACACTGTGCATCCTTCTGGAGCGCTCGCTCCGAGCCAACAGGACCCGCCTCCTTCCACTCAAGCTTCCCTCAATCAAAAACAACAAACATACTATTTAGCTGCTCTTCAAAAACCGCCTCTAAAGCTTTCATGGCTTTTTAACGAAGGGCTGCTGGGTGCTTATTGTGGCTGGATGTGATGAAAAAGCGTTGAGCTGATGGTGCCATCAGGAGTTCTGCAGCCAGGAGGACAAACATGGCGGCCAGATGCCGTCCCAGCGTGCAGTTGGATGGAGATGAAGGAGCTGGCCACAGGCTCGGCCGTTCACAGAGAGCAACCGTCTCTGCAATGAAAACCCTGAACCTCAACATGCTGCAACAGAGAAACTTTCCTCTGAACCTTCAGATTCTTTACGTTCAAAGATAAAAACGATCAATGGCGTAAATATCGGTAAGCAGAGACAGCTTAGAGGCCCCCGACCTCTTAGGGGCCCCGTCACTGACACCTGGTTGGCCCCCTACGCAATCATGGACTAGGACGTCTCTTTGCAGATGTAACGGTACGAAACGTTCCTCTTAAACCCACCTGATCCAAACCGTATTTATACCGCGACACACGTCAGATTTCACCACGATGGTGAACCGTTTAAACACGACACCAACAGCAAAGCAGACACTTTTAATTACTATGTTAGTAACTGTGTATAGTACACACTCATATAAATACACTCATATAATATGTTTCAAACCACAATGAAGATCTTAAAAAAAGAAGTATTTGAGTATTTCGTTTTTTATACTATGGGAATTCCAGCCCATAGATTAAACCCATAACCGTTCCGTAGAATGTGTTAGCGACGACGGATACCAAAGAGGTACTGAAGTGGATTTTAGAAAAGAAAAAGGAAAGAGCTGCTGGAAGAACTGAAAAAACTTCCCAAAATAAATACGATGGAGAGTTTATATCTGGTGAAAAAGCAGCTTTGTGAATATAAAGTGGAACTTTAACAACCTAAAACGCCCGGTAAATAAAATAAAACATATTTGCCTTTGCTGCTAAATAATAATACCGTATTGAAAATTGGTTTCAATACGTTTTTAACAAGATGCTGGTGAAGAATCTCCATCATCCAGATCACAGTCGTTACAAAAAACGTTTTTTAAAAAAGTCCTGGACTGTTTTTCCAAGTTTGAAGACGTTTCTCTTCCCATCCAGGAAGATTTTTCACTTCAATAATTTGTTTTTGCTTTCAAAACTAAAACCAGGCTTTGTTAGGCTGCTGGATAAAACCTGGAACTAAATGCTATTTCATTAAAAAGAATCTAACAGCACATTTTGAACTTCTGAAGCATTCTTTGGATAAAAAAAAAAACGGATAAGAATGAATAGGTCAGAATTTAAAATACAAACCAATAATAAATCAATGAATGAAAATTAATAAGCAAATGGAGATGTTCTTTGATAATGCAGCCCTGTATCTGGAAAACCAGGCATGCATGTCAACAAACGCACCATGCAAACAGTCAGGCATGTGTTGGACTCTGATGCAGCCGCTGGACCCGATCGTAGCATCACACCTGAGTGGTTATACTGGGACAGAGGTTTGGCAGTTTATTAAAAAAATGTGCAAAACAACCAAATATTAAAGAAAGCTGATATGATGTTCCAGTAGTTCAGGATTACAGGTTAATAAAAGAAGGACTGAAAAATAAATAAAAGAACCAAGATGTTGCAGAAGCTTACTGAACATCCAGACTTTAATCTGATTCAAGTGATTTGGTGTTTAGATGGTGAAAACTTTTTTTGGAATTTTAAACAAGACATTTATTGTTATTTTGAAACACAGCAAAACTAGACAGCAGTTAAATGTAGCTACCCTACTGTTCATAGAGCTAAAGTGAAAGAAGTAGGTTAGCTGGGCTACCTGCTCATAAAGGCTACGTTCACACCGCAGGCCTTCATGCTCAATTCCAATTTATTTTTGTGAAATCCGATTTTTTTCTTTTCATTTCAGAATCATTTTACCTCCTACTTTTGTTAGTAGCGCTTACAGATAGGTTACTCAGGTAAATTGCTCTATAAATATTATTTATTTACTGTTAGAATTGCATTTCTTTTTACTTGTATTGGTATTACCTTCAACTTCATGGCTTAGAACCTCATCACTCTTTAGGACAACCCTCAAACTGTCTGCAGAAAACCCAGTCTGCTTTTCTTAATGGGCCCAACAAATGAGTTTGAAAGGCAAACTTTGAAGATTGAAATGATCTATATTTGTAAAGTTAATTGTAAACAGATCATTGTTCAAATGAATGCATTGCTTTATCAGCTTTATCAGGACACTACTTCCTTCCATTCAAGATGTCACTAATAGGTCCTGTTTGACCAGAACCCAGATCACCATCAATGGGATCTCCACCTGCAGCTGTAAACTGTTTCCTCTGATTAGAAAGAAACGACTGCAAAGCTCCATGAGCTTCAGGTGTCGCCTGCTTCATCCTTCTCCACCAGCTGAGTGATCCACGGTTAAACTCTTTTATTTACAAGGAATAATGTCTTTAACTAAAGTTAAATGTAAAATTATCCATCCTTCCATCTGTTTCTGTCACACCTCTTCCTTGCTGGGTGGTGAGGGGTGCTGTGTCTATGGTGAGAGGCGGGGTCCATCTTGGACAGGTCTCCAGTCCATCACAGGGAAACACAGACAAACAACCATTCACACCTAAGGAGGATTTAGAGAAGCCAATTAACCCAACACCCCTGTTTCTGGACTAGAGGAAGCCGGAGTACCCAGAGAGAACCCACGCATGCACAGGGAGAACATGGAAACATGGAGAAAGACCACGGGCCGGGAATTGAACCCAAAACCTTCTTGCTGCAAGGCAGCAGTGCTACCTACTTGCAGAATTATATTTATACATTTTGCTTTTTCATTCATATTTATTTTCTGTGAAATTAGGAAAAGCTTTTGTTGTGACTTTGATGGTTAGATTTCTACCGTTGCTGCTTTGCTGCTGTTATATCTTCCCCTGGAGTCCATGCAAAATAAAGCTGGGCCGCTGACAGGACCTGGACCGGGCATTGGAACCGAGCCATCAGCCATCAGCTCCCTGTCCGGAGCCAGCCGGGGACGGAGCGACCGAACCCGACCCGGTGACGGTATGCCTCCCCCCGCCTGCGTTACAGCAGGCAAAAATATACTAAAATGAGTCTACCTCATCTGGCTAATGTAGTAAAACTGTTTCACAAAGATCTGGAGTCAGTGGGTCACATGACCTGGAAGCTATTGAAGAAAATTCCCAACTTTCATCTTTAAAAATATCTTAAAAATTGAAAATAGCTTCAAATTGCATGAAAGCAAGTGTGTCTTACATACGTCATCTATTGGCATGATTTTACTTTAGTTTGGTCTTAGTTGGTCAGAAGATAAGGAATTTATTGATTTTTGTTTCTTAAGAGTGCCTGGTTCAAAGATTTGTTGAGGGTCCCTAAATGCACCACGGCGTGTGGGAGGAGGCAGCAGCTGAGGGACGCTGGCCGACATCGGAGTCCCTCAGTCGGATCAACCGTTTGCTGGATCGCGCTGACTCAGCAAAGCTGGAATATCCAATATCCAACTTCAAACCAACTTCACCGCGGTGCTGACGGCTCGGTTCTGTTGCGCTGTAGTGACCAACATCCCGGAGGATTTTGAAATTCCCCCCCAGAGATTTTTTTAGGTCTGAAAGTAGGACATGTTCGGGAAAAGGAGGAGGTCTGGTCAGCCTACCTGAACGGGCCACCCAGCAGGAACCTTTCCTCCTCCCCTATGACCCTGAGACTCTTTCAGGCAGTGAGCAGCAACAGGTGGTGGAGGGGCAGCAGTGCATTATAGTCAGTTCAATTGGCCTTAAAAGTTGGAGCTTTTTGAGGTTTTTCCAGCTCTAGTGGTTCATTTTTTCAACAGTGGGCTGGCAGGAAAGGGGGAATGAGAGAGGGGGG